AAAAACATTTAGCAATTTTAATTGCTAATATATACTTTTGCTTAAACATTTCGTTTATATGTATTTATATTTATTTAATTTTATACATTTTTACTTTTGTAGTTTTTTGGCTTTTTTTGCATTATTTTCATTAGCAATTTGTTATGGCATGCTTTTAGGCATTAGTCAGTGTACCACAATTTAAACAGATAAAGTTTTAACATGGTTTTTATTATACTTTTAACTGAAAAAAATTATCGAAAAAAAACAACAATAAAAACATGTACATTTATTTTTCAAAGATTTGACTTTAATGTATGCTGTCATGGCAAAAGTTAATTAATGATAAATATTTATTATTTAAACATTTTGTTTAAATATAAAAATATATAAATAATAAGGAAATTATTATTTGAAAATTTAACAAAGATTAAGTAGGGATTTAAATATAGAGAATATCTAGTACATGCTTTAGAACTTTAAAAAACTCCCCATATAATACATAGTTGTAAACCAACAGATCGGATCAAAAATAATTGACTTCATAAGGATCAAAAATGTATACAAATCAGAAAATGTCTGAAACTAATACACACACTAACACACAACATTTTCTATACTGTCAAGATCTATCGAGATAAAACTTCTGTTACTTTCGCATATACCCCATTTAAGCTAAGAAGAAAGTTTTCTATTTTAAACATTTCACTGACCTACAATTTAAAATTTAACTCTACCAGTACATTTCCAAAATAGTTTACTATTAGACAAAATTAGCATTTAAATGATTTATTAATAGACACCCCCATATATCTTTGCACTTAATTTTAATGACAATTAGTCTATATAAGTGAATATTTAGGGTATTCACAGTTTACCTCAAGGTTATACATTTGTTCAAAAAGTAAAAGTGCCTTATTCATAAACATTTATCAAAGGTTTATAAATCTCCTAAAATTCTGTCTTCATCTCGAAATTACTGAACTGTGCGAACCTTAATACTGAACTCCCAACTTAAAGATACAAAAAACATGTTTTTTAATAAGAGATAAAAATTTAAAGTAACCTTGAACAAATATTAGGTCGAAGTACTTAATAATTTGTTTGTGTCTATATGCATCTTCAAAGATAAGATATTAAAGAGTTTAAAGAAAACCATAAAGATATTATAAAAAATTGTAAACAAAAACAATATTTGAAAATATTGTTTTCGCACTTGGCTGTCCCTTAAATAGTTAGTACTAGGTTTATGCACTAGTTCTGTTCTAGTTCTGTTCTAGTTCGGTTCTAGTTCTGTTCTAGTTCTGTCTAGTTCTGTTCTAGTTCTGTTCTAGTTCTGTTCTAGTTCTGTTCTAGTCTGTTCTAGTTCTGTTCTAGTTCTGTTCTAGTTTCTAGTTCTGTTCTAGTTCTGTTCTAGTTCTGTTCTAGTTCTGTTCTAGTTCTGTTCTAGTTCTGTTCTAGTTCTGTTCTAGTTCTGTTCTAGTTCTGTCTAGTTCTGTTCTAGTTCTGTTCTAGTTCTGTTCTAGTTCTGTTCTAGTTCTGTTCTAGTTCTGTTCTAGTTCTGTTCTAGTTCTGTTCTAGTTCTGTCTAGTTCTGTTCTAGTTCTGTTCTAGTTCTGTTCTAGTTCTGTCTAGTTCTGTTCTAGTTCTGTTCTAGTTCTGTTCTAGTTCTGTTCTAGTTCTGTTTCTAGTTCTGTTCTAGTTCTGTTCTAGTTCTGTTCTAGTTCTGTTCTAGTTCTGTTCTAGTTCTGTTCTAGTTCTGTTCTAGTTCTGTTCTAGTTCTGTTCTAGTTCTGTTCTAGTTCTGTTCTAGTTCTGTTCTAGTTCTGTTCTAGTTCTGTCTAGTTCTGTTCTAGTTCTGTTCTAGTTCTGTTCTAGTTCTGTTCTAGTTCTGTTCTAGTTCTGTTCTAGTTCTGTTCTAGTTCTGTTCTAGTTCTGTTCTAGTTCTGTTCTAGTTCTGTTCTAGTTCTGTTCTAGTTCTGTTCTAGTTCTGTTTCTAGTTCTGTTCTAGTTCTGTTCTAGTTCTGTTCTAGTTCTGTTCTAGTTCTGTTCTAGTTCTGTTCTAGTTCTGTTCTAGTTTGATCTAGTTCTGTTCTAGTTCTGTTCTAGTTCTAGTTCTAGTTCTGTTCTAGTGTTCTAGTTCTGTTCTAGTTCTGTTCTAGTTCTGTTCTAGTTCTGTTCTAGTTCTGTTCTAGTTCTGTTCTAGTTCTGTTCTAGTTCTGTTCTAGTTCTGTTCTAGTTCTGTTCTAGTTCTGTTCTAGTTCTGTTCTAGTCCTGTTCTAGTTCTGTTCTAGTTCTGTTCTAGTTCTGTTCTAGTTCTGTTCTAGTTCCGTTCTAGTTCCGTTCTAGTTCTGTTCTAGTTCTGTTCTAGTTCTGTTCTAATTCTGTTCTAATTCTGTTCTAGTTCTGTTCTAGTTCTGTTCTAGTTCTGTTCTAGTTCTGTTCTAGTTCTGTTCTAGTTCTGTTCTAGTTCTGTTCTAGTTCTGTTCTAGTTCTGTTCTAGTTCTGTTCTAGTTCTGTTCTAGTTCTGTTCTAGTCTGTTCTAGTTCTGTTCTAGTTCTGTTCTAGTTCTGTTCTAGTTCTGTTCTAGTTCTGTTCTAGTTCTGTTCTAGTTCTGTTCTAGTTCTGTTCTAGTTCTGTTTCTAGTTCTGTTCTAGTTCTGTTCTAGTTCTGTCTAGTTCTGTTCTAGTTCTGTTCTAGTTCTGTCTAGTTCTGTTCTAGTTCTGTTCTAGTTCTTTCTAGTTCTGTTCTAGTTCTGTTCTAGTTCTGTTCTAGTTCTGTTCTAGTTCTGTTCTAGTTCTGTTCTAGTTCTGTTCTAGTTCTGTTCTAGTTCTGTTCTAGTTTCTGTTCTAGTTCTGTTCTAGTTCTGTTCTAGTTCTGTTCTAGTTCTGTTCTAGTTCTGTTCTAGTTCTGTTCTAGTTCTGTTCTAGTTCTGTTCTAGTTCTGTTCTAGTTCTGTTCTAGTTCTGTTCTAGTTCTGTTCTAGTTCTGTTCTAGTTCTGTTCTAGTTCTGTTCTAGTTCTGTTCTAGTTCTGTTCTAGTTCTGTTCTAGTTCCGTTCTAGTTCTGTTCTAGTGCTGTTCTAGTTCTGTTCTAGTTCTGTTCTAGTTCTGTTCTAGTTCTGTTCTAGTTCTGTTCTAGTTCTGTTCTAGTTCTGTTCTAGTTCTGTTCTAGTTCTGTTCTAGTTCTGTTCTAGTTCTGTTCTAGTTCTGTTCTAGTTCTGTTCTAGTTCTGTTCTAGTTCTGTTCTAGTTCTGTTCTAGTTCTGTTCTAGTTCTGTTCTAGTTCTGTTCTAGTTCTGTTCTAGTTCTGTTCTAGTTCTGTTCTAGTTCTGTTTAGTTCTGTTCTAGTTCTGTTCTAGTTCTGTTCTAGTTCTGTTCTAGTTCTGTTCTAGTTCTGTTCTAGTTCTGTTCTAGTTCTGTTCTAGTTCTAGTTCTGTTCTAGTTCTGTTCTAGTTCTGTTCTAGTTCTGTTCTAGTTCTGTTCTAGTTCTGTTCTAGTTCTGTTCTAGTTCTGTTCTAGTTCTGTTCTAGTTCTGTTCTAGTTCTGTTCTAGTTCTGTTCTAGTTCTGTTCTAGTTCTGTTCTTGTTCTGTTCTAGTTCTGTTCTAGTTCCGTTCTAGTTCTGTTCTAGTTCTGTTCTAGTGCTGTTTTAGTTCTCTTCTAGTTCTGTTCTAGTTCTGTTCTAGTTCTGTTCTAGTTTTATTCTAGTTCTGTTCTAGTTCTGTTCTAGTTCTGTTCTAGTTTTGTTCTAGTTCTAGTTCTGTTCTAGTTCTGTTCTGTTCTGTTCTGTTCTAGTTCTGTTCTAGTTCTGTTCTAGTTCTGTTCTAGTTCTGTTCTAGTTCTGTTCTAGTTCTGTTCTAGTTCTGTTCTGTTATAGTTCTGTTCTAATTCAGTTCTACCTCAGTTTTAGGTAGTTTCTGTGTTTAGTCGCCTGTCGCTTTAATTCCAACTTACCTTCCGAAAAAACCCCATTGTAAATAATAATAAATACAGTTAGCAGTTTTTTCCATCACATTTTCCTTCATTTCTTCACTATCAATGTTCAAGTTCAAAAACACCATTATAAAATTTACAAAATATAAAAATAAAATTGTGTAAAAGTTTTGTCACCTATTTATTTTTTAGGTGACAAATACAAACTAAGTGAAGCAAAATTGAAAGTGTATCTCTTATCATTTATTTTATGAGTTAAAAAGTGGCGATCTTTAGAATATTTCGTTACGTTTGAGACACATGAAGGGAGGATCAGTTTACTCTAACTACATTTTATTAAACCTTAAGTCTAAAGAGTATTACAAATTCGTGTTCTTTGCGATATATAAGTCAACACATGTTACCTTTTTTAAGCCCCCATGATCTTTTTCAAAAAAATATGTTGTTGTTGCCAATATTGTTGTGGTGTCGTATGATAATGATTACGATGGTGTGAAGTAATATTATTGTAAGTATTTGCACAATTGTTCATTTTATTGCATATAAATACAAACGGGAATTAATTTAAAAAAAAAAGAAAAATAATTTATTTACCTTAACAGTTATTTAAATATAAATAAAACAAATACAAAGCAGTCTATAATAATAAACATTTGATTAAACATCACTCATAATACCAGCAAAACGTCACGATCTGCTTGGCTTAATAAAAACCATAAAATTTTAAAAGAAGTGAATTTTTTTTATATTTAAGAAAATCATAAAATATGAGCATTTACTAAATAAGTAATTAAAATAAATGAGATTTTTTCAATATTTATTTGTTTGGATTTGAAGTGACTTGATCTTATTATATTACGCGTGTTTTGTCTATTTGGTTTATCTTAAATGAAATGTTCTTAATGTTCTGGTTAATAATAAATCATATAATATGTTTATTGGCCCTAAAGTAAATTGTTTTTGTCATAATTAAAATATCAAATCTAATATTTGTCTTGCGACAACAAATAAGAACAATAACAAATATACACATACATTTTGTCTAGTCTTAATTAGTACAAGTGTCTTTTTAAAAAAAGTATTAAAATTGAAACATTTTAGCAGAATTCTTTAATGTCATTTAGTAAAATGTTGTCGAACGATCCGATAGTAACGCGGATTTTAAAAGGTAATTATAAAAAAGAACGAGGAATATTAGAAGCGAAACAACAGTTAAAAGAAATTGAATAAAACAATAACTTTTGAGTTTTTTTTTTTAAATAAAAAAAAATAAAAACAAAAAATTACTGAAAATAAAAGTTAATTTTAATAATTTTTTTGTAAAATCTTTAAAGAATTCCCGAAAAATGTGTTAAAAAAATATAACAAAAGTGACAAATATAAAGAAATTATCTTTGGTATTAATATATAAAGTAATTTTGAGTGTTTTGCCGAGTGTGGTGAATATTTTCGAAATTCACCTTTTTTATAAAAACTCACCTCATCTTTAAAATATTTAATTTTATAATTAAAATGTATTAAATGTGGACTTTAAGAAATAAAGTAAATTTGAGTGATTTTCAAAGTGTGGTGAATATTTTCGAATTTCACTATTATAAAAAAACTCACCACACGTTTAGAACATAACAAAAAGTTATTAAAAATTCACCTCATTTACATAAATTCACAATTTTCATGATTTGTACGAGATTTTCTAAATTTTATAAAAGCCACCAAACCCTATAAATTAAGGATCTTACAACTTTTCAAAAAAAATCTAAAATCCCCCCAAAAAAAGCTTTTAATTTGAAAACCCTTTCCCTTTTAGCATTCTGCTTTCTATTCGCTTTTTCCTATTTCGCCGTCAGCACAGAAGCTGCTCTATTCGATGGCTGTGATCATACTTATACTATAGCTGGTGGCTATTCATATCTAGAATCACCATACTATCCAAATTCTTATCCCAAAGGTTCATCATGTCGTTATAAATTTGTGGCTCCCTTGGACTACGATATAGTAGTTAACTGTACCATTAACTTGGCTAAAGTAAAGTTAAAACTTTAACTAAAAATGCACATCATCCTTAAAATAAAAAATTTCTCTCTAAAGGGTTCCAGTGGCTGTACTACCGAGTATTTTTATTTGGCACGCGACGGTGATGTTTTACTAAGAGGATCTGAGAAATTCTGTGGTGCTGGTACATTTATACGTAGATCTGTTTTTCGCTCAGTAGTTTTGGCTTACGAGTCTGGTGGTGGGACCGGTAATTTCCGTTGTCAATTGTATGCTGCCCCACAACCCTGTGACTGTGGCTGGTCGGTAAATACGAAAATTGTCAATGGTCAACAGACAGCAACAAATGAATTTCCCTCTATGGTGGCTCTTAAAGATAGAACCACAAATCAGGCCTCGTATTGCGGAGGAGCTATAGGTTAGCGTCCTAAACATTGTCAATAATTACTATATCTTTTTATAATATCTTAAATCTCAGTATCCCATAGATATGTATTAACGGCCGCCCATTGTGCCCGTGTTCAAACTAATCCGGCCAATATATTGATCCGAGCCGGACGTCAAAATCTGTTAGCTAGTAAGTTTCTTTTACGTTAAAAAAAAGTATTAACAAATTAATGAGCTATTTTGTATAAATTAGATCCAGATACTATGTATGCAGCTGATTACTACGTTAGCCAAATAATTGTACATGGCTCTTATACCGCTAATCCGGTAAACAATGACATTGCTCTACTTGTAACAACTACAAATATTGAATGGTCTAGAGGTGTGGGTCCGATTTGTTTGCCCTCGGATGCAAATGCGTAAGTTTTGTGGTGTTTTTTTGAACAGACTATACCAATGTAGGACTTAACTAGACTAGACTAGTAGGCTAGGCTTTAGACTAGGCAATATATCAGACTATAAAGAAGACTAGATTCTATAGAATATACTATATACTAGACTATAGACTAGACTATAGACTAGACTATAGACTAGACTAGACTAGACTATAGACTAGACTATAGACTAGATTATAGACTAGACTATAGACTAGACTAGACTAGACTATAGACTAGACTATAGACTAGACTATAGACTAGACTATAGACTAGACTATAGACTAGACTATAGACTAGACTATAGACTAGACTATAGACTAGTCTATAGACTAGACTATATACTAGCCTATAGCGTAGACAATAGACTAGACTATAGACTAGACTATAGACTAGACTATAGACTAGACTATAGACTATAGACTAGACTATAGACTAGACTATAGACTAGACTATAGACTAGACTATAGACTAGACTATAGACTAGACTATAGACTAGACTATAGACTAGACTATAGACTAGACTATAGACTAGACTATAGACTAGACTATAGACTAGACTATAGACTAGACTATAGACTAGACTATAGACTAGACTATAGACTAGACTATAGACTAGTCTATAGACTAAACTATAGACTACACTATAGATTAGACTATAGACTAGACTATAGATAGACTATAGACTAGACTATAGACTAGACTATAGACTAGACTATAGACTAGACTATAGACTAGACTGTAGACTAGACTATAGACTAGACTATAGACTAGACTATAGACTAGACTATAGACAAGACTATAGACTAAACTATAGACTAGACTATAGACTAGACTATAGACTGGACTATAGACTAGACTATAGACTAGACTATAGACTAGACTATAGACTAGACTATAGACTAGACTATAGACTAGACTATAGACTAGACTATAGACTAGACTATAGACTAGACTATAGACTAGACTATAGACTAGACTATAGACTAGACTATAGACTAGACTATAGACTAGACTATAGACAAGACTATAGACTAGACTATAGACTAGACTATAGACTAGACTATAGACTTAGACTATAGACTAGACTATAGACTAGACTATAGACTAGACTATAGACTAGACTATAGACTAGACTATAGACTAGACTATAGACTAGACTATAGACTAGACTATAGACTAGACTATAGACTAGACTATAGACTAGACTATAGACTAGACTATAGACTAGACTATAGACTAGACTATAGACTAGACTATAGACTAGACTATAGACTACGACTATAGACTAGACTATAGACTAGACTATAGACTAGACTATAGACTAGACTATAGACTAGACTATAGACTAGACTATAGACTAGACTATAGACTAGACTAGCTAGACTAGACTAGACTAGACTAGACTAGACTAGACTAGACTAGACTAGACTAGACTAGACTAGACTATAGACTAGACTAGACTAGACTAGACTATAGACTAGACTAGACTATAGACTAGACTAGACTAGACTAGACTAGACTATAGACTAGACTAGACTAGACTATAGACTAGACTATAGACTAGACTATAGACTAGACTATAGACTAGACTATAGACTAGACTATAGACTAGACTATAGACTAGACTATAGACTAGACTATAGACTAGACTATAGACTAGACTATAGACTATACTATAGACTAGACTATAGACTAGACTATAGACTAGACTATAGACTAGACTATAGACTAGACTATAGACTAGACTATAGACTAGACTATAGACTAGAGTATAGACTAGACTATAGACTAGACTATAGACTAGACTATAGACTAGACTATAGACTAGACTATAGACTAGACTATAGACTAGACTATAGACTAGACTATAGACTAGACTATAGACTAGACTATAACTAGACTAGCTAGACTAGAATAGACTATAGACTAGACTATAGACTAGACTATAGACTAGACTATAGACTAGACATATAGACTAGACTATAGACTAGACTAGACTAGACTAAGACTAATAGACTAGACTATAGATTAGACTAGACTAGACTATAGACTAGACTATAGACTAGACTATAGACTAGACTATAGACTAGACTATAGACTAGACTATAGACTAGACTATAGACTAGACTATAGACTAGACTATAGACTAGACTATAGACTAGACTATAGACTAGACTATAGACTAGACTATAGATTAGACTAGACTAGACTATAGACTAGACAATAGACTAGACTATAGACTAGACTATAGATTAGGCTATAGACTAGACTATAGATTAGGCTATAGACTAGACTATAGATTAGACTATAAACTAGACTATAAACTAGACTATAGACTAGACTATAAACTAGACCATTGATCATAGACTAGACTATAGATTAGACTTTAGTCTAGTATACTGACCTTAAAACGATATTTAAGTTTTAAAATTTTATCTTTTTTAGTAACAACAACTTTGCCTATAATTATGTTGATGTCATTGGTTGGGGTACTACCTCTTTCGCTGGTCCCACTTCCTCAACTCTACTGAAGGTTCATTTGATGGTACAAAGTAACAGTGCCTGCCAACAGGCCTATCAGGGTATAACCACTATTTACCCAAGTCAAATGTGTACTTATGATACTACGGGCACTAATAAAGATTCTTGTCAATTTGATTCTGGCGGTCCAGCGGTATACAAATATAACCGTCAATTCATATTGGGCATTATAAGTTTTGGTAAAGGGTGTGGTCAAGGAGGTTATGCCACTGGAGTTAATACACGTGTTACTTCCTATTTGTCGTGGATTAAGCAAAATACCGGTTATTCGACCTGTAATGTTAGCATGTAGTATTATTTATGCTATTTTTCTTTAAATTCGTCTGTGTTAAAAAAGAGTATACCAAAAATTTTTATTAATTTAAGTTTACATTTTTTTTAAATCTACAATTTATCATATTTTTGTAAATTCGCCACATATATTTTAAATGTGGGAGTAATAAAGTCATTTTTATACAATTTCAGTGTATGTTTTTATATTATTTAAAGTGGAAATTTATTATTTCTCGGAAACCCTTTAGATCTTGGGACATTTCTTAAACCCTTAACCAATTTAATTATTAATTTAAACTGACTAAACTGTAAGTGTTACAACAGTATTTATTTATATTTTTATTTAAATACAAATTGAGCAATTTATTGTGTAAAAGATAAGAAACTAAAGCAAATAAATAACGAAATTGACTTATAGCTGGAAAAAGTTATAAAATGAAACAGTTATTTTTAAACCGATCAAAAGCAATGTTGAACAATTTTACTAAAAATATAACAGGTAATAAATTTTAAACATTATTTCACTTATTAGTAATTCTCCAATTATTGTTGTAGGCATTTTGTTACTACTCATTCATATAGTAGATCTAACACAAGCTCAACGACAATGTACTTCTATGAATTATCAACTACTCTCTGAACGTCATGTAATCAATATAACCTCTCCGAATTATCCAAATGCCTATCCGCCGGGTACAAATTGTAGACATAGTGTAACGGCTCCCAGAGATCATGTTGTTATTTTAACCTGTTACTTCGAAGTGGTTCCCAATAACTGTGACTCTGAATATTTTTTCCTATCTCCGGATGGCGATCTACAATTTCGTGATGCCCAGCGTTTCTGTCGCAATACTCAAATCACTAGAATTTCAAACTTCCGTTCTATAGCCTTAGCCTATTCTTCATCACGTTCAAATACTCGTTTACGTGGTCGTTTTAATTGTCAAGCTCGCGCTAGAAGAGTACCCTGTAATTGTGGTTGGTCAATGGGGACACGCATAGTTAACGGTCAGGAAACTCTACGCAATGAATTTCCCTCTATGGTGGCATTGAGAGATATGACATCTCCTCAAAGGGTATTTTGTGGGGGCAATATAAGTGAGCAATAATTAAGGGTATAAACTTTATTTATTTTAATGGAAGTGTATGTTGTTTCTAGTTAGTCCACGTCATATTATAACGGCTGCCCACTGTACTCGTGCCCATCCGGACTCAAATACTATAATGGCATACGTGGGAGATCATGATTTGTCAGTTGGTACGTAAAGGCAACCAAGACTATAGACTAGACTATAGACTAGACTATAGACTAGACTATAGACTAGACTATAGACTAGACTATAGACTAGACTATAGACTAGACTATAGACTAGACTATAGACTAGACTATAGACTAGACTATAGACTAGACTAACTATAGACTAGACTAGACTAGACTATAGACTAGACTATAGACTAGACTATAGACTAGACTATAGACTAGACTATAGACTAGACTATAGACTAGACTATAGACTAGACTATAGACTAGATAGACTAGACTATAGACTAGACTTAGACTAGACTAGACTAGACTATAGACTAGACTAGACTAGACTAGACTAGACTATAGACTAGACTATGACTAGACTATAGACTAGACTATAGACTAGACTATAGACTAGACTATAGACTAGACTAACTAGACTAGACTATAGACTAGGACTATAGACTAGACTAAGACTAGACTATAGACTAGACTATAGACTAGACTATAGACTAGACTATAGACTAGACTATAGACTAGACTATAGACTAGACTATAGACTATACTATAGGACTAGACTATAGACTAGACTATAGACTAGACTATAGCTAGACTATAGACTAGACTATAGACTAGACTATAGACTAGACTATAGACTAGACTATAGACTAGACTATAGACTAGACTTAGACTAGACTATAGACTACTATAGACTAGACTATAGACTAGACTATAGACTAGACTATAGACTAGACTATAGACTAGACTATAGACTAGACTATAGACTAGACTATAGACTAGACTATAGACTAGACTATAGACTAGACTATAGACTAGACTATAGACTAGACTATAGACTAGACTATAGACTAGACTATAGACTAGACTATAGACTAGACTATAGACTAGACTATAGACTAGACTATAGACTAGACTATAGACTAGACTATAGACTAGACTATAGACTAGACTATAGACTAGACTATAGACTAGACTATAGACTAGACTATAGACTAGACTATAGACTAGACTATAGACTAGACTATAGACTAGACTATAGACTAGACTATAGACTAGACTATAGACTAGACTATAGACTAGACTATAGACTAGACTATAGACTAGACTATAGACTAGACTATAGACTAGACTATAGACTAGACTATAGACTAGACTATAGACTAGACTATAGACTAGACTATAGACTAGACTATAGACTAGACTATAGACTAGACTATAGACTAGACTATAGACTAGACTATAGACTAGACTATAGACTAGACTATAGACTAGACTATAGACTAGACTATAGACTAGACTATAGACTAGACTATAGACTAGACTATAGACTAGACTATAGACTAGACTATAGACTAGACTATAGACTAGACTATAGACTAGACTATAGACTAGACTAGACTAGACTAGACTAGACTATAGACTAGACTATAGACTAGACTATAGACTAGACTATAGACTAGACTATAGACTAGACTATAGACTAGACTATAGACTAGACTATAGACTAGACTATAGACTAGACTATAGAGACTATAGACTAGACTATAGACTAGACTATAGACTAGACTATAGACTAGACTATAGACTAGACTATAGACTAGACTATAGACTAGACTGTAGACTAAATTATAGTATTTTTTGATCAAAATTTCCTTATCTGATTAATTAGATAATGAATCCCCCTACGCTGCCCAATATCGCATACAAAGTATTATAAATCATCCGAGTTTTATGACCACAGCAACCTCCATGATTAATGATATTGCTATATTAATAACCAGAATACCCATGGAATGGTCTAGGGGAGTTGGACCTATCTGTTTACCCTGGAGACAACAGTAAGGAACTAGAAATTAAATGTTTTGTCTTAAACAAACGAAATATTATTTTCAGAAATGAAGCCTTTGCCTATTCAACCGTGGAAGTAGCCGGCTGGGGCACTCTATCATTTGCTGGAGCAAAATCCAATACTTTGCAGAAAATACAATTGATAACTTTGGAAAATCGTGTTTGTCAGCAGCAATATAATGACACAGTGAGGGCCTCACAAATATGTACTTATGATTATAGTGGTTTAGGGCAAGATTCCTGTCAATATGATTCAGGCGGACCGGTTATATTACGTCAGCAAAGATTAATGCTTTTGGGTGTTATAAGTTATGGACGCAGCTGTGGTCAGCGTTATGGCATTGGTATTAACACCCGCATAACTTCTCATTTGGGCTGGCTGTGGCGTTATGTACAAAATGATGTGTGTGTTCAGTAAATGACCGCGTTTTTTTTTCAGAACATTTACTTTTGTTTTGTTTTAAATAAAATATGTCCGGTTTTGTATCTTTTTTTCGCTTTTTGTTCTAAGTACCACTTTTGTTATTTTCATGGTTAATGACTTAATTTATGCACAACCATAATTTTTGTTGAGATTCTTCTTTTTTCGCATTTCATATTTTCAAGGATAATGAGCTTTGTTATCCTTTGATGTTCAGGCCTTTATATACATTTAATTGTTACTTTTATGCAATACAATACAAAAAAAAAAAAAAAACAATAAAATCAAGTAAATTAGCGTAAAGTACTTTTAAATTGTTTTACAAAATATTTTAATTGTTTTCAAGGGGTTCATTTTTAGCTGATGGGAAAATAAATGCAAAATAAAATAAAACATATTTATGATTTGTTTTAATTGTCCTGTATTAGTAAAAGATAAAACAGAGTTTTAAAAATAGCGAAATAAAAGAACACAGCAACAAGTTCAAGTTCAGTAATAATCGTGCTAAAAGTAAAATTTTTAGAATTATATTGCATGACCAAAAATACTTTAATGACAATTTTAAATTCTCCTAAAATTATGCAACATTTTTTAAATCCACAAAATATGTTACATTTCACATAGTCTGCTCTATTGTTTTAATCAAATTTACTGTAAAATTTTTTTATAATTTTATTTCTTATTAAAATCTTTTGTTTTACCTCAAGTATTAGCAAAATTTTTTTTGTTTTAAGGACAAAATCCTTTTTTTATCATCCTTATTTATGGCAACTCATCATGTCTTACATCTACTTAACACGGAAGTTAATAACAATATAATACAATAAAAGATTTCTTTGAAGCCTAAAAAACGACTACATTTTTATTATATTTTTTTCCCAAGGACTCTTGAAAATCTTTAAGTCTATTCTTTTGCTAGTGGTGGCACAACAACAACTTGCAACAAAACATATTTATGCCGTGTTTTTCACAATTCTATTTTTTTTCCATTTCTTCTCAAAACTTTTTAACCCTTTTTTGTCGTCTTCTATGTGTGTGCATTTTTATTATTATTTTTTTGCATAAAACAAAGTATTTATAAGTTCATTTGTTCATTGTGTCAGAATGCTAGAATATGAAACAAAAAGCATAATATAAAAAACGGAAACAACAGCAAATCATCGTGTTTCTTTTGAGTTGTTATAGGGAACTTTTTTCATTTGCTTATTTTGCAACAAAAACAACACAATATAAATGCATTAAAGTACACTTGACGCGACTTGTATCCTTTTAGCTACTTGTTCCTTAACTCAAACTCTTATAAATAGGCAAAAAAAAAAAAAAACACAACTACTCATGCAACCGTCTCTATATTTATAAAATTCAAAATGAAAACAACAACACAAAAAATATAACAATTCAAAGTAGCTGTTAAGAGATGTTGATGATGTCCTGATTTTGTTTTTTATAAAAAGTTGGGCGCATAAAAAATGAAGAGAAAACAACAAACAGACAATGATGATTTGCACTAAAGTATGCTATAGTTTTTTTATAACATCATTAGTAAATAAATTATATAATAAAATAAAAAATAACATGTTAATTAAGGAACATAAAGAAATGAATAACTACAGTTTAAAAAATCCTTAAAATATGCTACAGTTTGTTTTTTAAAAAGATCCTAAAAGTAATTAAGACCAAAGTATGAGAGCTATAATAAAACTATGACTAGACTATGACTAGAATATGACTAGACTATGACTAGACTATGACTAGACTATGACTAGACTATGACTAGAATATGACTAGACTATGACTAGACTATGACTAGACTATGACTAGACTATGACTAGACTATGACTAGACTATGACTAGACTATGACTAGACTATGACTAGACTATGACTAGACTATGACTAGACTATGACTAGACTATGACTAGACTATGACTAGACTATGACTAGACTATGACTAGACTATGACTAGACTATGACTAGACTATGACTAGACTAGACTAGATAGACTATGACTAGACTATGACTAGACTATGACTAGACTATGACTAGACTATGACTAGACTATGACTAGACTATGACTAGACTATGACTAGACTATGACTAGACTATGACTAGACTATGACTAGACTATGACTAGACTATGACTAGACTATGACTAGACTATGACTAGACTATGACTAGACTATGACTAGACTATGACTAGACTATGACTAGACTATGACTAGACTATGACTAGACTATGACTAGACTATGACTAGACTATGACTAGACTATGACTAGACTATGACTAGACTATGACTAGACTATGACTAGACTATGACTAGACTATGACTAGACTATGACTACTATGACTAGACTATGACTACTATGAATAGACTATGACTAGACTATGACTAGACTATGACTAGACTATGACTAGACTATGACTAGACTATGACTAGACTAGACTATGACTATGACTAGACTAGACTATGACTAGACTATGACTAGACTATGACTAGACTATGACTAGACTATGACTAGACTATGACTATGAATACACTATGTGGTTTAGACTTTATTCTACAGTTTGATTTTTATGAAAAAACAACTGGCTTGAGTTAAAGATGCCCAAACGAAACATATTGAAATAATAACATTTTAAATATTAAAAACAGCATAACAGGCATAAAATATTAATTGCTTCACACCTAGGAATATGTTATGAAAATAAAATCCTTAAAATAGGCTTTTAAATATACATATAAAAAAAACGCATATTTCTAAAAGTTTTTTCTAACACTTTTTAACGACAAAAAGGTGTCAAGCAATTAACACTTTATGCTTTAATGCCTTTTTATTGCCATCAATACAGAAAATGCAATTAATTTGAAATGTCAACTAATTAACACCTTAAAGTATGCCTTATTTTTTCCTGATTTCCTCTTAACAAATCAATCAGTTGATACTTTTGCTGCTAATTTCTTTTTGAGTTGTTTTTCTCTACCAATTATCAACTTTTGCTAAAGATTTTTATTTTACAACCCCAATCAATTATTTGTATTGCTACAATATAAAAAAGAATGTTCATGCGAAATGAAAACTCAAATGTCAATATTCGATTTTCATTTTTTTTATAAAACGATACAAACGCCTTTTATATATGCTTAATATTTTTTCATATATGTTTGGTTTATTTTTGTTTTTGTATAGATTTTCAAAAAACCTAAATAATTAAACGTTAGCTTAGCATTTATGTATGTATGTGCAGGCACAATACTTTTCTACATATAAAAAAAATATATAAAGAAATTGCTTTTTTATACAAACGAGAATTTGGTTCGATGTTAACTGCATAAGAGCAATCGTGCCACAGCATTGCAAAATAAACCCACCCTTAAAAATATGCATTGTATTTCAATGGTTTCTATGTAATTTCTTTTTAAACAAATTTCTATAGCATACATTTTAGGCTGATTGCATGCAATGTGAAATATTTATGTATAAGTGTATGTCGGAAATAAAATCATCGTCATCATCACCAACGTCGTTCTAAACAACAAGAACAAAATTTGAAACAAAAGTATTTAAATAAAAAATAGAATATAGAATTTTTATTTAGGTGCTGTTGTTGCATGCAGCAAGTTTCGCATCTTTTTTAGCATTATTCTTGTTTTTTTTTTTTTATTTAACAACGCTATTCATTTGCATCTAACCAATAGGCAACGAAATAGAGAAAATTGTCTGCTAGAAAATTGCAATTTTCCCATACAAATGCAATTTTTTGTCAGCGCCCTGATGAGTCTTACTCACTCTTACATTAATAGTTTTTTTAGTTTTTTAACTTAGAGCTCAAATGACGTTGAGAGCAACAAAATAAAACTTTTAATTTACATTTAGGTAAAATAAAAGGCACTATTGAATTAATGGTTTTGCTGTGCAAGATGTAGGGAGGAACAACTGGTGGAAACAAATTTTGGCCCAGGAACCAGCAATATTCGCAATAGTTAAGTTAGCTAAGACTATCTATCCACTAGACTATACTATAGACTATAATATCGACTAGACTACAGACTAGACTATAGACTAGACTATAGACTAGACTATAGACTAGACTAGACTAGACTAGACTATAGACTAGACTATAGACTAGACTATAGACTAGACTATAGACTAGACTATAGACTAGACTATAGACTAGACTATAGACTAGACTATAGACTAGACTATAGACTAGACTATAGACTAGACTAGACTAGACTATAGACTAGACTATAGACTAGACTATAGACTAGACTATAGACTAGACTATAGACTAGACTATAGACTAGACTATAGACTAGACTATAGACTAGACTATAGACTAGACTATAGACTAGACTATAGACTAGACTATAGACTAGACTATAGACTAGACTATAGACTAGACTATAGACTAGACTAGACTAGACTAGACTAGACTAGACTAGACTAGACTAGACTAGACTAGACTAGACTAGACTAGACTAGACTAGACTAGACTAGACTAGACTAGACTAGACTAGACTAGACTAGACTAGACTAGACTAGACTAGACTAGACTAGACTAGACTATACTATACTATAGACTATAGACTAGACTATAGACTAGACTATAGACTAGACTATAGACTAGACTAGACTATAGACTAGACTATAGACTAGACTATAGACTAGACTATAGACTAGACTATAGACTAGACTATAGACTAGACTATAGACTAGACTATAGACTAGACTATAGACTAGACTATAGACTAGACTATAGGACTAGACTATAGACTAGACTAAGACTAGACTATAGACTAGACTATAGACTAGACTATAGACTAGACTATAGACTAGACTATAGACTAGACTATAGACTAGACTATAGACTAGACTATAGACTAGACTATAGACTAGGACTATAGACTAGACTATAGACTAGACTATAGACTAGACTATAGACTAGACTAGACTAGACTAGACTATAGACTAGACTATAGACCAGACTATAGACTAGACTATAGACTAGACTATAGACTAGACTATAGACTAGACTATAGACTAGACTATAGACTATACTATAGACTAGACTATAGACTAGACTATAGACTAGACTATAGACTAGACTATAGACTAGACTATAGACTAGACTATATAGGACTAGACTATAGCACTAGGACTATAGACCTAGACTATAGACTAGACTATCGACTAGACTATAGACTAGACTATAGACTCAGACTATAGGACTA